ATAACAAAATGTGAACCAATTTCAATGAAAATGATTCACTTATGTAAAAGTACATATGACGTCTAATGGAGAGAAATTGATATCATTTTCGGATTCAGCGTAAGGAATTACTGTAGAACATGTAAACATTTCAAGACAATAAAACCATCGCATGCCCGAGTTATACATATTAGGTTAAGTTATGGCTGTTAAGGTTTAGATGTATAATTACACAGATTACCCTCACTATTTACGGTATGTGAAGCCACTTACTGTTTGCGTGGCTTCAAGAAAATCTTTCGATTATTTTTTCAACCTCAGGTTCACATTTTCACCTTTTTTTTTTGCAGGAAAGGATGCCACGAATGTGAAAAGAAACTTGTAGATCGACTGTTAATCAGCCTGGATCCATTGGGGCGGCTTGTGCCGGACTTATTCATGGTTCCCTTCTGCTGCCAATGTCTTTCGTAAGATGTGTCAGCAGCAAACTTACGATGTTGCGAAACACCACGTAAAATTACCGTTGTTCTTTATATAGTTTACCACTTCTGTTTTTTTTCTGTTTTTGTTAGCAAGTTAAATCATCACAGGTAGTAGCTACCGTCAATACCTCTTCAATACCGATCTGTCAGAAACGGTACCAATGTACAAACTGAATCTCTCGAAATCACACAAAATGTAATGTTCTGTACAAACTTTTTGTCAGTTTTGTTTGGTTATTATAAAATACTCTGTTATACAACCTGAAGATTCCTGAGAAACTGGAAATGTCTGGTCATGGAAATTATGAAGGTATTAATACTACACTGGATATTTCAGTAAGGTTTGTTAATAGTACCTCTTCTGGTACCGTATATTTCAAGTTTTTTACAGTATTAGCTTTTTAAAGAGTGTCTTCATAACTGCTTTCCAACCATTTGCTGAGCTGTTGAAAGTTCTAAACATCAAGCCTTTTATGTTTTAAAACCATCAATACAATATTGTTATGTAGAATCCCTATAAGTATTGTAGCGAAAATTAACTTAGAACCATTGCTTGTTCTAATAACGATTTGAAGACAGACAGTTTGTTTTCGTATTTGTAATGTGCCATTCAAATTTATATTCACTGGAGAAATATGTACAAAAAGACTGTATCACTTCTGAAACATAATGAGTTACGGTAAAAACTTTGAAAATATAGTTAATAAAAACTAGTTTAATTTATATATCGCACTCCTTCAATTTATATTTCACTCATTTTATTCGGTGGATTTTTACATTTTAACCTTGAATGACTGAGTATCCCATACTAAATGAGTAATTGAAATTCCGAATTATAATATGTATGACTTGTGTTATATTTTACTGTACTCACAGGGCTTTCCAATTAAACAAAAGAACAGTCTCTAAGTTGTCAGTCAACTAGGATATTTTTAATAACTATTTTCGTGAAAAACATGCATCATGTTAGAGACTAAAATTCAGTGTCAAAAAGCAATAAATAATAATAAATCTTAAATGTAAGGAAGAATAAAAATGTTTCTTTCATCAACGCTAGAGGGCATCAGTAACTAATAATTTTGTTTATTTTCTTTGAACAGTAACTAATTAAGATCCGAAAGAATACATTTTAAAATCTTATATCTACAAAATTGTGTAATTTGTAGCTAATAGCAACGTGCCGTGGTGAATACATTTAGATATGTTTAAAAATAGTTACACAATCCTTCAGAATTGTTGGTTTGGTTGTTTTTAGAGCAAAGCCACATGGAACTATCTGCTGTGTCCACTGCGGAAAATCGAACCCTGGATATTAGCGTTGTAAGTCCGTAAACTTACCGCTGTTCCGCCGGGAGATATCCTTCAAAAATGAACTGCTATGATTTTGAGTTCGTTTAGTGACAAAATATAGAAAAATTGTATTTAAGAAAGACATATTGTTAAAAAATCAGTTATTGCTACATGTCAGTTTTTGTTTGTTTGTTATCAAACACAAAGTTACCTGATCTATCTGTGCTTTGCCCACCAAGAGTATCCAAACTCGTTTTTTAGCGTTGTAAGCCTTCCAGACTTACCTCTGAGCCACTGGGGACGCTATTTGTCACGCGAATATCAATCTTCACTTTTAGCTGTTATATAGATAAATTGTTATTTTACTCAGTTATATGTCAGGAAATCCTTTGATTGTGTTTATGGAATATGTATCAAACTCTTGTCGCTTTTTGTATCGTTTGGATCAACTTACAACAAATAAATTTCTAGCTAGTGTCAGGATTCAATAGTGCTATTATAGAAGTTACAACGATGGATAAAAATCATGCTAACAGAAAATATCTCATTGCAGCAAGCCTACTTGTTGTTTCAGCTGTCACCACTGAGAGAGTGGAAGTTCAAACTCGTTACTCTGTGATTTTCTAAACAATTTAGCCAGTGAAATATTTATTTCACACATCCTCTAAGGAACATGGACGACAAGTGGATTTTCCTCAAAATTGGTCTGGAATACCTGGTGGTTAGAGAGCTCGACTCGCAATCTGTGGGTCAAGCGTTTGAATCCAATTACTAAACATGCTCGCTCTTTAAGCTGTGAGAGCATTATAATGTAATTGTTAATTCCAGTATTCGATTAGAGTAGCTCAAGAGTTGGCGATAAAATATTTCTAAATTTTCTGAAATACAAAATAACCGTCACTACAATGACTGAGACTCTAAAATGTCCTGACTTACTTGATACAGGACCAGAAAAACCAATGCACAAAACCATTAAACCCATAACACTAAGTTTATAAATAAACATATATGTTGAAATACACTATCACGTTCGTCACAGCTGAACTTGTTAAAATCACCACCATCACTACTGAGCATATACAATGTCAACCCTGGTTAGACCAAATACCATCGCTACTGAACTTGTACAATGTCAACCCTGGTTGGACCAAACACCATCGCTACCAAACTTATACAATGTCAACCCTGGTTAGACCAAATACCATCGCTACTGAACTTATACAATGTCAACTCTGGTTAGACAAAACACCATCGCTACTGAACTTGTACAATGTCAACTCTGGTTAGACCAAACACCATCGCTACTGAACTTATACAATGTCAACTCTGGTTAGACCAAACACCATCGCTACTGAATTTGTACAATTTCAACCCTGGTTAGACCAAATACCATCGCTACTGAACATGTACAATGTCAACCCTGGTTAGACCAAATACCATCGCTACTGAACTTGTACAATGTCAACCCTGGTTAGACCAAATACCATAGCTACTGAACTTGTACAATGGCAACCCTGGTTAGACCAAATACCATCGCTACTGAACTTGTACAATGTCAACCCTGGTTAGACCAAATACCATCGCTACTGAACTTATACAATGTCAACTCTGGTTAGACCAACACCAATGGATAAAAATTTACTGCTTTGGTCACAATAACCAGTTTGTGAAATGATCAAACATGTCAACTAGATAACTACCGTTAACACAAATCAGAGTTTGTATAATCTATTAAACATTCTTCCATTCTAATCCACCATGCTATTATAGGGTAAGCTCCACAAGTACTAAACATTGTAGGTAGATTTACTGTTGTTTAAAACAACGACTGTAATAAGCCCGTAGTTGAATTTTTGAAATCGTCAAATAAACCTCCACTTGGAGAACAAGTATTAATGCTTTCTTTACCAAATCGACAAACTTTAACATACAACTTGAGTTAGTATAACGTAAAAAAAAAAAACAACAACATTAGATAAAGCTCCATCTGGAGAAAAAATACTGATGCTTTCTTTACCAAATCTATGAACATTAATATAAAACAACGAGCTTGTACATTGTTTCAAATTTTCAAATGAAATACACCATGATCACATTACTGGCATGGTATATTATTCAAACTTATTAAATACGGCTACAAACTGATCATAACACTGAAATTGCAAGGTAATATAAATCTTATGGATAAATTAGCACCGTGATTACATTATTCAAGTGCATGATATCCAAAAGCAGAACGTACAACATTGTGGTCACAAGCTGATGTTGTGTAAACTTCAGACTTGTTACATTATACTAATATGATGAGAACACTGAGTTCATACATTATCAAAATTTTCGAAATTACAAAATCTACGAAAAAGTAACACACAGACTTATAGTATTTAAATGTATCAAAACACAACATTATTATTTATAACATCAAAAATGAGTAAACATGTGAGTTTTGTGGCTACAACATTAATATTGTTCCAAACACAAGCTAGTTAAATTACATCACCAACTACTCCTTGGCACTGAGTTTGTACAAAGTTCATTGTGTACTTACAAGTATTACAGTGCAAAGTTCGCCGTTGTGTAATTACGGGTATTACAGTACAAAGTTCACCGTTGTGTATTCACACGTATTACAGTACAAAGTTCACCGTTGTGTACTCACAAGTATTACAGTACAAAGTTCACCGTTGTGTACTCACAAGTATTACAGTACAAAGTTCACCTTTGTGTACTCACAAGTATTACAGTACAAAGTTCACCGTTGTGTACTCACAAGTATTACAGTACAAAGTTCACCGTTGTGTACTCACAAGTATTACAGTACAAAGTTCACCGTTGTGTACTCACAAGTATTTCAGTACAAAGTTCACCGTTGTGTACTCACAAGTATTACAGTACAAAGTTCACCTTTGTGTACTCACAAGTATTACAGTACAAAGTTCACCGTTGTGTACTCACAAGTATTACAGTACAAAGTTCACCGTTGTATACTCACAAGTATTACAGTACAAAGTTCACCGTTGTGTACTCACAAGTATTACAGTACAAAGTTCACCTCTGTGTACTCACAAGTATTACAGTACAAAGTTCACCGTTGTGTACTCACAAGTATTACAGTACAAAGTTCATCGTTGTGTAGTCACAAGTATTACAGTACAAAGTTCACCTCTGTGTACTCACAAGTATTACAGTACAAAGTTCACCGTTGTGTACTCACAAGTATTACAGTACAAAGTTCATCGTTGTGTAGTCACAAATATTACAGTAAAAAGTTCAGACTTGTTAAACTACAACATCAATTACTTCTTAACAACGACTTTGTACAAAGTGGCTGCAATACTCAGGACGTGCAATTCCACGTATTTGTATTAACAACAACATCGTTACCATAATGTTAAGCAAAAAAATATTTCGGCCACGATACTCAGACTGAACACTCTTTTAGCTGTCAAGATAGCTAGTGTTACCCTATCCAATATTTGAATACAAAAACTATTATTTTGTCTATAATTTTTTCCCTCTAGCCTAATTGTGTCACCTCACTAGATTACTTCGAAAAGTCTCTGTTACTTTCTTCGTGAAAGACTAATTTGTAACACGTTTGTGTTCAATAAAAGAAGGCGGCAGCAGCAGTTGAAACAAAAATTAATTTATTTTAATTAGACAATCTAAATTAGGTACACATCGTTGTAAACAAATAACGTAATGTGTTTGCATCACGTCGAAAAATGGGCATCCAAAGAAAAGAAGATATTGTACAAATAATCATAGAAATGATTTTTATGAGATCAGTTTAAAACAATGACATTACTATATCACCATGTCACAGTGTTTCTATAGTGCAGAAAGGAATTTGAAGAAAGACTTAACAGTTTATTCTTGTACCTATGATCCATTTTCTACTTGTTCTCCCTTTCATTTGTATTTGATAACAAGTTAAGATTCTGTTTAAGTTTGACTTAGGAAATTTGTAATTTATATTTCTAAGAAAAATAGTTTTATCTTTAATCGTATAAGAAATCTGAGCAACTAAAGAAACTGATGCAATACAAATCACTTAAATTCACCTTTAAAATGCTTTTAAAAAGTTCTAGACAATGCCTGATTTCTAAGGTCAAACCGTATGATCTTCGAAACAGTTACATATAATCAGTTTGTTTTTCCTTAATTTTCTGAGTAAATTCGAAGATTACAGGTTGCTGTCTAAGGTCTGTTATTAGAAAACGTAAAGCTTAACAATGGCTGATCGGCTGACGCAGTTACCTAGAGAGCGTTCAACATTTTTTATTCTGTTAGTTAGTCCTGACGTAGAAAGGGAATACTAGAGCGTAGTGACTAGTTCTTATCTAAAACGACCAGTAAACCCAAAGATTTCGTAACTTTTATCAAGGGTAACGTCAGGCTTGTAAAACGATGAGCTAGAAAAAATAAAAGCTTGAGAAACTGCTGAAAATATGAATGGTAAGGTTCTTAGTTCTGCGTGGTCAATATTAACTGACATACACAGCAAGTAGGAACAAAGACCTGATCCTGACTGGTTCCTTGACCATCGCCGTCCAAAGTTACGAGTGACTTCTTGCTGTATTTCTGTTTACATTTACTTTCATACCCCGGTGGAAGTGAAATTTTACTCGCACAGGCTTCTTCTGGAGAACTGAAAATAAATGGTAAAAGTTATACATGAGTAATTACAAAAACAATTAACTTACATTGTTCTCATGAAAAAAAATAGAGTTTAGTATAATAATTTCTACTTTGGGTTTCAACCTGTTTACATGTTAAAATTCTGTCATTAAAGTCCCTTTAATTATAATGATAATTTATGCAACATTAGTGTTTATAAAGTGTGTATTCACTGTTGACCGAAGCCGTTTTTCAAGAAGACGGTCTTAAAGGATTCGTATTTTAAGACGCTGTCTTACACGACAAACGCGTTACGTTTCTTGTCTAGCTCCTTGTGATCGCTTGTTAAGTAATACAAGCACACATATTACCACTTTTACTTAATTTTAAGTTACAATCAATTGATTCAAGTTAATACAAGTTTACAATGTGTTTATGTGGAATAGCACGAGATTATATATTCGTGTTTTAGCTCTATATTACAATTATCATCTAATATATTTTTTACCATTACAGTTATTACCAAACTATGATTTCCCCCCAAAATATCGAACCTATCTATCATGTGTGACCTTTGTTTGTTATGGATTTCGCGCAAAGCTACACGAGGGCTATCTGCGCTAACCGTCCTTAATTTAGCAGTGTAAGACTAGAGGGAAGGCAGCTAGTCATCACCACCCACCGCCATCTCTTGGGCTACTCTTTTACCAACGAATAGTGGGATGGACCGTCACATTATAAAGCCCCAACGGCTGAAAGGGCGAGCATGTTTGATGTGAGGGTGATTCGAACCCGCCACCCACAGATTGCGAGTCGAGCGCTCTAGCCACCTGGCCATTCCGGGCCCATGTGAGTCCTGTCTTTTACATTCTGTCATTTTATGATATAATCACTAAATTCTGAATATTAATTTAACAATTTCACAAAGTTTGCTTTGTCACGAAATCATTAAGATATCAAAGATAATAAAACTGTAGCGTTTCATTCGCAAATATAACTAGTTAATATTAGCCCTACCTGATATCGTGAGAAGCTTTTACACTTACAATGACTAATGATACTTTGATGACGAGCATGAGAGCTTCCACTCTCAATAAAAATGACCGGTGACATTCTGGTCGTCAATATGTCATTATTCATCAGTCATTGCAAGTGTAAAGTGCAACCTTTTTGCAACTTGAAAAGGGATAATATCAGCAATTCATAGTAACTCCACAGGTTCGAGTTATGTGAGTCAATTTCATTTTTAGTGTTTGTTTTTTTGTAATTAAGCACAAAGCTACACAATGGGCTATCTGTGCTCTGCCCACCACGGGTATCGAAACCCGGATTTTAGCGTTGTAAGTCCGCAGACATACCGCTGTGCCACTGGGGGGCTATTTTTAGTGAGTGATCTAACAAAGTGATCTAACATTTTAAAGTTTAATATAACTAGCCAAGACCCGCAAAGCATTTGCAGTAGTTTTTATGCATTTCGCCTGAATTGTCCTTATTTTATCATTTCCACGCACACCATTAAAGCTACGCTTTTTTTGCAGCCATTATGTATTAGATCGATATATCTTGGTCTATTTGAAGAAAGCTTACACGGTCAGACAAAGAAACTCACATAGACGTAACTTTATTTAATAAAACTACGCGTAAAGTAAACAATAAATGATGAAACAATTATTAGCATTCAATGTATGACACAGTTTTGTGAGTTGAAACAAAGATACTCGAAAAACGATGAATAAAACCCGTACTAAAGAAAAAAGTAGCTAAAAGGTGTTTATAGCAGTCTATGAAACAAATCGAAGCTAAATTGTTGCAAAGTAATGTAAATGTAAAGTTGTGATGAAGGCAAACTTAACTGAATATGCAGAAATGCCTGAATGCGTTTTCATAAAGTGATAAGCATATGGTTTTGAACGAACTGTACACGCGTATTTTAGACCTAAATAAGTCGAGAAAGCCCATAGAAATTGTATTGAGTGTAATGTTTATTTTTATATATTTTTTTTTGGAAAGTGTGAAATACTTTGCAAATAAAAAAACTAAAGTTGAAATCGAAACCAGTTGTCACGTGATTAGAACAACATCGTGTAGCATGCTCGTTGCATGAAGTTCGACTAAGCAAAAAAACAGGTAAGATGATTGTAAATGGAAAAGCCAATGTGCAATTCGGTCTCCTCAGACAAAAGCCTTTCTAACGATATGAGATTTGTAGTGTTTGATCGAGACATTTGCAAGACAAGTGCCGGACAGAAGAACAGCCTGATTGAAAGAAATATTTCGAAGATAAAAGCATGAAGTGTTAACTCATAAAAAATGTTTAAAGTATTTTAGACGTACCTTTTTTTTTACATCAAGTATGCTTATTGAGTCGTGTTTTTTTAGTACTTGCACGTTCAGAAATGTTCCGTAATTAAGTTAAATTATTTGGTGTTTAATATAAGTGAATACGAAGATAGGCTTAATTTTTCTGAGTTTCATGTATAACACTTGTTTTTGTATTATAGCGAGTAACTGAAAAACACGGTGCTAGTTTGTAATTAAATAATTATTTCTATTGGCTTTTTTAATGGTAAAAAAAGGAGAGGAAAAGTAAGAGAAACGTAACATACACAGTGGATGTTATAGTTGTATTAGTAGTGTGTCAAATAAATTAGGGTTAGAGTAACTTGAACTGATTATGTGTAAATTACGAGCTAAAGATATTTAAAATTCCACATTTAAGTCGTAATTGGATACCCTTAAATAATGGATTTTTATACAAAATTGTCTCTGTTTTAACTTCAAACTTCAATAACAAGGTTTTTCAGTATTAGCATTCGTGATTGTGTTGTAAAGTAAGTGAATAAAGACATACTTTTGTTATATCTAATATTCTTGATGAGTCTTGTGATTTTGTCATTTCTGACGTGTTTTTACATGTCGTACATTTAAACGTGTGTGATTAATCCAATGTAAGTGAATATAAAAGGAGGCCTCACTTTTTCGAGACTAATGTACAGAAAGTGGCTAGTTATCATGATGAAAAAACAAAAATTCAGAGTATTTACAACTAACTAACAGTGGTCATGAATCATTAGTGGGTGTATATTTCCGAGTTTGTCATTTGTGAAAGCGATAACATGTGCTCTGAGTCTTTTGTGAATAAATAATAATTAATGCTCTCATTCACTTGTAATTAATATGGTCTCAAAGTCGCGTTGAAGCCACTGATCTATGCTCCGAATTGGTTTTTAGTCGATAATACATAGTATGAATGGTTCGTGAGTCTCTAATATTTCCTCTGAGTGAGTTACAACTAATTACTTCTCTTAATCACATGTAAACCACTAACGTGTTCCGAGTGACTCGTGAGTGAATAACACGTGCTCTGAATGGTTCGTGAGTTTCTGATATTTGCTCTGAGTGAGTTACAACTAACTACTTCTCTTAATCACGTGTATACCACTACGTATTTCGAATAGCTCATGAGTGAATAACACGTGCTCTCAACTGCTCATAACTTGTGTATTCAACTAACAGGTGATGAGTCATAACGGTGACAATTTGTATGAATGGCCTCATAATTGGGTAAGAACTGGTTTATCAAGACCTTACAATACTTTTACTCAACGGTCGTTGAGGGGATGCATTAGGTGTGGAAGTTAATCAACACACACACGTTCACCACATACCAAAATGCCTGATAGTTCCTGAGGACAAGTAGTTAACTTAAATGTTTAATAATTTGAAATATTAATATGAATGCCAGAGGGTAATTATGAATATGGATGACGTCACCCAAGATATCAGCCCCAGCGCCATCTTGTTCAAGGAAGCTATATTATGTATTCAAATCGAATTATTTGGATGGGAACACTAAACGTCACTAGGCGTTGCAATAAAGAGCGAGAATTCACACATTCGTCATCACAGTGTCATTAGACACCTTAATTGCAAAATTTTTTCGTGACCTCAGAGAAGCTTATATCTGTAGTTTGTATAGGTGTGCTTTTAAAATTTTAGAAGCGTGGTTAAGCTATACAACTGTGTAATATTTTGATGAAAATAACGATTATGATTGATCACAAATTAAAGTATTTTTATATACATCTTACGCCATAAACAGTCATAAGTACAAATGTTTTAATTAGATGCTTCGAAAAATTTATTTTTTTAAATTATATGTATATATGTGTACGATAAAGCTAAGTTTATTAATAATGACAATAAAATTTAGTAGTTGTTCTGTCATGCAAATAAATATGTCTTAGGAGATGTAATTTTTACTGGTTTATAGAGATCTAACAGTATCTATAGTCATCTGTTGGTTTTCAAACGAGACCCAAAACTCGAGAGTTTTCGAATAGTTCACTATTCTTCTTCGGAAGAATAAAAAAGAATAGTAAACTATTCGAAAGCGCTCAAGTTTTAGGTCTCGTTTGAAAACCATTACCACTTTTGTATGTGATTATGTGTGCTAACTTCTTAATCGGATTTTTTTATAGTTATATCTTATTCATGGAGGAGTATTATCTGGTTCATTGTGATGTTACGTCAGAGGTCAAGCGGATGTAATATAATCGGCTAAAGATCACGTGGCTCCTAGGTGAAGGACAGGTCAAGATTATGTCTGGGTCAGAGGTTAATTGAACCTGGTATAGTAGGGATGCTGTTTAAATTACTTTCGGAACGGCCCGGCATGACCAGGTGGTTAGGGCACTCGACTCGCAATCTGAGAGTCGCGGGTTCGAATCCCCGTCACACCAAACATGCTCATTCAGCCGTAGGGGCGTTATAATGTGACGGTCAATCCAACTATTCGTTGGTAAAAGTGAAGCCCAAGAGTTGGCGGTGGGTGGTGATGACTAGCTGCCTTCCCTCTAGTTTTACACTGCTAAATTAGGGACAGCTAGCGTAGATAGCCCTCGTGTAGCTTTGCGCGAAATTCAAAAATAAACAAACATACTTACATCTGAAAAATATATCTCTGTTTAGCTATAGTATAGAGCCGGATAGCAGGATACTACGGGTAATATATCAAAAAATGTTTTTGAAAATAATAAATAATAATAGACTACAAATTAGATGATTAACAGAATTGTACAACAATGGCAAGAATACTGATATTCTAATTAACTATAATCAAGTTAAATATAATAAAAATAATATTCTAAACTTTCTATAAGGTGTATCTAAAACAACTAATCCGACTTTAACTAATCTCTGCCACACTACATCATATACGGAGCGAGCAGTGAAACATATTAAATATAGTAAAACCCAAAGTATTAGAAGAAAAGAAAACTCACAATAACACTAAAACTTAAAAAATAATTGTTTTGTTATAAATTTAGCGCAAAGCTACAAGAGAGCTATATGCGTAAGACTAGACGGAAGGCAGTTAGTCATCACCACCCACCGCCAACTCTTAGGCTACTCTTTTACCAACGAATAGTGAGATTGGCCGTCACATTATAACGCCCCCACGACAGAAGGGGCGAGCATGTTTGGTGGGACGAGGATTCGAATCCGCGAACCGCAGATTGAGAGTCTAGCGCCCTAAACACCTGGCCATGCCGGGCCTACTTGACAAATCAAGCTATTAGCAACAATTACGGTAACTTATCTAATGACTTAGTATTTTACAATACAAATACCTATTATGCACCTAACAAATGAGTTATCCTACTTAAAAAAATATTCTCAGGGGACACATTAACCATAATTGAATAGACTACAATCTATTATTTGAGGTTATATTTATAGATATATTAACTAATAGGTTATAATTGTGTTGAAGATTCCCCGCCTCCCCCCAGTGATTACGTTGCTAAACAAGACGCTTACAGCAACAGATCAGGTAAAATGCAATTAACCTATTGTATTTTTCTTAGTGTCGTTGAACTCTGAGCAAATAACTGATTATTTTATTGTATTTGTACAAAAAGTTACAGTATTTATTGTATCTTAACAAGTAATTGAAAACAAGCTTTTTATGTATTATTTGTAACTGAACTTTCGTGATTGTTAGTTAAATGCGACTTTATGAATGCTTTGTTATTACTTCCTTTATAGCCCCCATGGCTCAGCAGTTAACTTGAGGGTTTATAATGCTGAAATTCGGGGTTAGATTCCTACATTGAGCACAGCCCAGATAGAACAATGTGCAGTTTTGAGGTTGAAGAAACAAACAAACAAATTACAGATCTTCTTATTTCTGTTGGTAGTGTTTATCCTTTACTCACACAACTAACTGAAGAATAAGTAACATTTATCACTGAAATTATTCATCCAAATTATTATGCAAAATGAAGGTTAGAGTTCATTCATATAGTGGAATTATTGGTCATAAAATAAAGGTTATTGAATAACTAAGTTACCTAAGACAATATTTTTAGTAAAACTCTACCTTATACTGAGGCTATTTTAACATATAGTTAATTAACTTCGTTACTGTCGTTATTCTAGTACTAGCTATCAAAGAGAAGGTGTTAAATACTTGATTAGCACGTTAGACTATTAGCACATGTTAAATAAGTCTGTATGCACACCTTAATTCTTAAAAAAATATTCTATAATTAAAAGTAGTTCCTTACTAATACAATTCTGTCGCTTAATTGATCACCATTTATGAGACAAATGTAACATTTATTTAAGAATATTAAAAGTAAAGTGTAATAAATTTCCTAAAGGAAAATTACAGCTTTGGTAATTGCATCAACTGCAACCGTGGCGCCATCTGGTGAGATCATCCTCTGTAAACACTACTCGCTATTTTTCAAGAAATAAATCAAAGCTTCATAAAATTATATAAATTTCTTAAGAAGAAACTTTTAGAACACATTACGAACGTATATAAAGGTATTAGCATGTAAGTAAAATTTTCATAAAGTGCAAAGTTGTTGGACAACAGGGCGCATTTTGGATTCCTACGATTTGACCATTGCATATTTTGCACAATAAATCTCATTCCACAGTTGAAACCAGAGTTGTTTGTGTTGATTCAGGACGCATTTCTCCACGAGTATCTGTTTGATGTTATAAGCAAAATTGTATAATTTTTCGCGTCCCAATCCTTCCTTGTACAACATTATTTAAATTTTGACATTTTTCAATCTTCTACTTGTCGAGGGTCCTTTCATAGGCAGCTAATATTTCGGTAATAAAATATAATTCATCAAAAACCTAATCGCAGTTATTGTTAATAATACCATCAAAGAGACCTGCTTTGTGTACATATATAATACTACCATCAAAGAAACCTGTTTTGTGTACATATATAATATATATACCATCAAAGAGACCTGCTTTGTGTCCATATATAATATATATACCATCAAAGAGACCTGCTTTGTGTACATATATAATATATATACCATCAAAGAAACCTGTTTTGTGTCCGTATATAATAATACCATCAAAGAGACCTGCTTTGTGTACATATATAATACTACCATCAAAGAGACCTGTTTTGTGTCCATATATAATATATATACCATCAAAGAAACCTGTTTTGTGTCCGTACATAATAATACCATCAAAGAGACCTGCTTTGTGTCCACATATAATAATACCATCAAAGAGACCTGTTTTGTGTCCATATATAATACTACCATCAAAGAGACTTGTTTTATGTCCATATATAATAATACCATCAAAGAGATATGTTTTGTGTCCATATATAATAATACCATCAAAGAGACCTGTTTTGTGTCCATATATAATATATATACCATCAAAGAAACCTGTTTTGTGTCCGTATATAATAATACCATCAAAGAGACCTGTTTTGTGTCCATATATAATACTACCATCAAAGAGACTTGTTTTATGTCCATATATAATAATACCATCAAAGAGATATGTTTTGTGTCCATATATAATAATACCATCAAAGAGACCTGTTTTGTGTCCATATATAATATATATACCATCAAAGAAACCTGTTTTGTGTCCGTATATAATACTACCATCAAAGAGACTTGTTTTGTGTCCATATATAATAATACCATCAAAGAGACATGTTTTGTGTCCATATATAATAATACCATCAATGAGATATGTTTTGTGTCCATATATAATAATACCATCAAAGAGACATGTTTTGTGTCCATATATTTTTCTTTAAGTCCATTTTTTTTCTCACCTGCAGACATCGACTCTGATGACTTGTTTAAATCGAGGATCTCTGTCGGGTACGTTAACTACGAACTTCCACTGTGAACGATCTGTTAGGCCAGCTTCTGGAAGAATGAACATTGTTCTAACTGCACACAGTGGCTCTTCGTCTCTTTGCCTACGACCCCTACGAGAATAAACAGAGTTCTTGCAACGCTTGTACTAGATGAAGTTATTCAATAACAAAATCATATAATAATTTTGTATCGGCACTTTAAATACAAATAGTTAGCGAAAGTCATTGTAAACAAACAATCTTGCCATATTATACTATAATTCATTTAGAAATTAAATTTTCTTAATGTAAAAATTAACTTCAACGAAACTGGCTAACATTTTATAGCGGAATGATACTGCATTATTGTATCTTACTGTTATATCCCTTAAATAAAATTTTTAGAAATATTTTGTTTTCTTTAATATACAATTAGCATGTTTCGTACTTCGATTTTTTTTTAAATTTCTTTATTTTAAGAACAAAAACCTAACTATTTAATTAAAAAAACCGTGTTTGATTCTGTTATTTACTTTCAATAAGAGTAAACCTTACTTTCTCACAGAAAACTACAAACAAAGAGACAGTTTTTTTATTTCAAATATTCCTGGTAACGTACTCCAGTTCTTGATGAAAAAAAAAATCAAACAAGTCGTGACATCGAGAGAGCCAGAACTGTCCGTCTTGAAATAACAGAGCTGGCTGAGCCAAGTTTTCCTTAAATGAAAACCAACACGTTTTTACGAAGTAAACTGATAGTTCCAGCGGGAAAGCTCGATAATCTCAAATACTTTTATAAATGAATATGTGAAGGAAGGTGTGACAAAATGCATAAGAAATACCTCCATTAACGTATAAAGTTTCTTTGTGTAACATTCTTTATGATGGACATCGGTTCACGTTTCTTCTTGGTATAGGGATTGTTATCTAATGTAAAGTTTAAAAGGAATGTATCGTCGTTGAAAAGAATGACTTGTCATTCTCATATTTATCTGATGGGCTATCCTCATACAATAGTTAGTAATATAATCATATACTGTTGGCAAACAATGATTTTTCCTTATTGAATAACAGCTAAAGAACGAAAGAAGCAAAACTACGTTTCATTTTATTGTAATGTCGCGTTAACTACTAGCTATTTAACGTATACTTATTACAACTATCTAGTTAAGGTTCTACTAGCCTTTGTAAGGTCAACAAACTCCAATCTAAGCTTGAGGTTATCAAGCTTTCCCGTTAGAACTATCAGTTTACTTCGTAAAACGTATACTTATTACAACTATCTAGTTAAGGTTCTGCTAGCCTTTGTAAGGTCAACAAACTCCAATCTAAGCTTGAGGTTATCAAGCTTTCCCGTTAGAACTATCAGTTTACTTCGTAAAAACGTATACTTATTACAACTATCTAGTTAAGGTTCTGCTAGCCTTTGTAAGGTCAACAAACTCCAATCTAAGCTTACAAAACTTCATTCGCTAGTCCTTCAAATTGAATCAACATTTCTGATTGTTGAAGTCAAATATTATTTAAAGAAATATAATGTGTAATGAAAAAATGGATATTTTTTATTTTCTCTCAAGCAAAAAAGCATGTTCAAAATCATATTCTAGTTGACAACTTCAAATCAAATTTGAAAATAGATACAATACGATACTCACCACAACAGTATATAGAAAAAAGTTTGTTAGTCAGTACTTGATACAGAGCTCCCCGTGGCTCAGCGGTAAGTCTAAATGCTTAAACCTTGAAAAGACAGGTTTCGATACCCGCAGTGGCCACAGCACAGATAGCCCATTGTATAGCTTTGTGCTTAACAAACAAACACAAATAAACAAACTTCATGCATAACTGAGTGAAAAAAGTCCATATAGATAGGGTTCACTAGCCATTGCTATATAACTAAGGAAAACTTACCATAACGTTACATGAGAAACTGATTACCAGCCTCATATTGAATGTAGTGCTGAGAGTGAACTTCATTTATTACAATTAACTAATTACTGTGTGTGAGAGAAACAACATACCTTTTCATAGAGGATTGAAATATACAGTATCAGTAGGTCCTAACTGACGTAAAGCCCACTAGTCAAAACAATTAAAGTACAATCATAATTTGTAATATTATAGCTAAGACAAGACAAAACCATTAATTCTTATGCAAATCAGATATCCGAGGATGATATATATGATCTGGAATGTTAATGATTGGTCATTCAGTCCTAATGGCCATTTAGTAGATGTGATTTTACATGTTTACAGTTGACGATATTGCACTTCAATAAGATGTATGCTTACCACAAAGAGCACTCCTCTAAAAGAATTGTTTTAGAGGCATATGTAGTGTCAGGAGTCAATATATAAGAAACGTGATGTATATCCAAAAAGCATCCTATTTTTGTGTCAGGAATAACTAAATGGAACGTGATGAACATCCTATGTTCAGTGTACATGGAATGTGGTGCACATTCCAAGAGCACCCCACATAGGTTATAGGGGAATGATCCAATGAACGTGAAGACCACTCCATTCGGTTGATGTTTATCACGTGGGGGTAGACGTTATCACCAATTAGACTAAAGTTAGAGCCAATTGCACCAGAATATGGTAGTAAAGAGGACCACGAGATGTGTTCCCTATTATGTGTGGCATTAATGCACCATTCTGAGGAATTTAGAGATTGGTGCGTTCACGCCATATTTTCGACCACCATATGCTTCCCGTTCTTGTATGAAAACGGGGTACATTTGGTACCAGACTCTCCCCAAATGAGTATCAGTCTGTTATTTTGCTGTAAGGTGAAGTGCGACTCATTTGTAAAATAAATCGTGTTTTAAGAATTGTTGGTTCATTGTACTTGTTTATGGCGCCACTGCAAGCAAGATGTACTGTAAATGCTATTCTGGTCTTCTTTGTTTTTTGAATTTCGCGCAAAGCTACACGAGGGCTATCTGCGCTAGCTGTCCCTAATTTAGCAGTGTAAAACTAGAGGGAAGGCAGCTAGTTATCAGCACCCACCGCCAACTCTTGGGCTACTCTTTTTACCAACGAATAGTTGGATTGACCGTCACATTATAACGCCCCCACGGCTGAAAGAGCGAGCATGTTTGGTGTGATGGGGATTCAAACCCGCGACCCTCAGATTGCGAGTCGAGTGCCCTAACCACCTGACCATGCCGGGCCTATTCTAGTCTTATGAATCTGTTTATAACCATCTACATACATTGGAAAAGCGTTGTGGTTGCTCTAGGAGTGTGACGAGCCAAAATCGACAAATTTCGTAAATGATGATGATATTCTTGTCAAGATACCTGAGCAATCACAACATTAGTTTGGAAGCAGTTCCAAATTTTGCTAAAGACACTTGAAATTGATTCGCAACATGCTGCTGTAATTAGCTGGGTTCAATTTGTCTGATAGTTCCTCCCATGTGTAAAACATCCAAATGCCTTCTCTGAGGTTTAGGCAAGGTTCATGAAGAACTTAAACTACTCTGAACTCTGCAATTCTCTTTGATGTGATGACTGAGACAAAATTATATAAAATAATTATACGCATAGAATAAGCTGACTGACCACTCACATGGCTGATCATAAGATGTCTGACTCTCTTAACTGAGTGAAGTAATTGACATATCATTTTACAACAGTGGTTTTGTTTTGTCATAGCTATCCTTCAATTATTTCGAACAGTGTATTCATACTGAGAGAATAGACTAGAGTATTACAATAATGAGTGCTTATTGAGTGATACAACATACCTGTTTTATTAGAATCAGCTTCCGAGGTGCGATGGTGGGTGACCGTTGATTGAAAAAACCTGCTTATTCTGCTAAAATTGGCAATAGGAGTATGGTTGTATGTGACAATTGAAACTAAATCAACCTAACTCATTTGGCAGTATTGACTATAAAGGTGTTTTGTGTGTGCCAAGCAAATTGAAATAACATATCTCTTTTTGATGTAAAGAGCTAGAAAAGTACGGTAGTATATGGCTGTTGAATTTAGAATAACACCCCTTTTTGGTAGAATTAACTGCAAAATTATGATTGACTGTGGTATATAAATGTCTGCAGTGGCATAGCTGTGTGTGTGACTGTTGATTGAATTCCATACCTTACTCGATATGGAAATGTTTGCAGTGGTATACCTGTGTGTATGTGACTGTTTATTGAATTACGTACCTTACTTGATACAGAAATTACTGCAGTGGTATAGCTGTGTGTGTGACTGGTGATTGAATTCCATACCTTACTTGATATACAAATGACTACAGTGGTATAACTCTGTGTGTGTGACTGTTTATTGAGTTCCATAACTTACTTTATATAGAAATGGCTTCAGTGTTATAGCTGTGTGTGTGACTGTTGATTGAATTCCATACCTTACTTGATATAGAAATTACTGCAGTGGTATAACTGTGTGTGTGACTGTTGATTGAATTCCATATCTTACTTGATATAGAAATGACTGCAGTGGTATAACTGTGTGTGTGACTGTTGATTGAATTCCATATCTTACTTGATATAGAAATGACTGCAGTGGTATAACTGTGTGTGTGACTGTTGATTGAATTCCATATCTTACTTAATATAGAAATGACTGCAGAGGTATAACTGTGTGTGTGTGTGACTGTTGATTGAATTCCATATCTTACTTGATATAGAAATGGCTGCAGTGTTGTAGCTGTGTGTGTGACTGTTGATTGAATTCCATATCTTACTTGATATAGAAATGGCTGCAGTGTTGTAGCTGTGTGTGTGACTGTTGATTGAATTCCATACCTTACTTGATATAGAAATGGCTGCAGTGTTGTAGCTGTGTGTGTGACTGTTGATTATGAAGAGAACCTTTCAACCATTGGAATGAAGAACGGTTCCGTTATCATCTATCTTGCTAAAGACTCACAAACAAGAAGTTCGAATGGTTCCAGACACACCTCTGAATCAAAGGTTGTTTTCAGGTAAAATTAGACGAAGAAACTGGAACCTAAGTAATCACACTCTATTACATACCTGTCAAGATCTTCAATGCAGCTCCGAAGGACTTTTGTGCCTTTTATCTGCTTAAAAGTGATCTTGGAAGCCGAATTCCATGTACAGTGGAAGGTCTGTGTAAGTTGTACGAGGTCTGTGGTCAAAGATTGGTCTCACCTTTGTTTACAGAAGTTTGTTACAATAAAAATCATGGTGCTGGGGAATAGGGTGTAATCATGGCTTCAAGACGGAGCACCATCAACGATGGGGAAATAATTCCAAGGGCAACACAAGACCTGGAATGTCGTCCTTATAAAGTGTTATTAACCATCGGTATTAAAATTGCGGATAATCATGATAATCTTGTGAATATTAACATGTTTTTGCCTTACAAAGGTTGTGTATGATTTGGTAAAGGTTCAGGAATGGACAACTCACATTCAGGTCCGCTAAAGACCAATTGGTCGTTCAAGGATTCCAGAATATTAGAATGACAACTAAAGCCAAGACACGCTTTCAAAAAAAAAAAAAAAAATTAAATGTCACATTCTAAGAGCTGAAATTTCAAGCAGTAAAACTATTTATTTGGTTTAGAAATATCAATTTTAGAAACACAATTTTCTGAGATTTTCCTTATATTTAAATACTATATCTTTCATTTAGAATTTATTTATGAAAGTCGATATTTAAACCCTAAAATAACTTTTTCTTTGTAGTTAAGCACAAAGCTACACAATGGGCTATGTGCTCTGGCCACCACGGGTATCGAAACCCTGTTTCTAGCGTTGTAAATCCGCAGACATACCGCTGTGCCACTGGGGGGGGACTAAAATAACACCTTATAAATACCTTTGTGAAATAGGGAAAGTTAAGAATACCTCACACTGATACCAGTTTGTTATAGAGATTTCATTCCTTGTGATGTAAAATGACCAAAAGGTTTTAAAGCACAGATGTTGATTTCTTGAAGGAAAGAGAAACTGAGTTGGTGGATTATGTTCGAATGTTTTTCATCTCATCTCAATTATTACCGAACGTTTGACTATAGTATTAGTTGTGTTTACATCTTATGTGTGTGCCGTATATTTTAATGATTGACAGATATTGAACATAAGTTGTTTCTTGTCTTTTGTGTGTGTGTGTGTGTCTTTGTTTATATTACAATGTCGGATGCATATCTTCTGGAATGAACCCAAAGTAATGGCATAGACGTATGAGAACGCGCCAAGTACAGAAATCAATGACAGATTGTCAGGCATCTGGTCACAGAATGTCTAAATCACTGTTTCAGGATTAACTTCTTACGGTGTTACGGAAGGTTCAGAGGTCTCTCAGGCTTGTTAATATCAATTTGCATTTAGATTCGCAGTTGACATGTACACATCTGTTTCACATTCCCCTTACCAGTGAATCTCTTACCAATTTTCAAATTTATTTGTTTTTATTTGACTCATTTAACTGAGTTCTGTGGTTTCTGTTTCTTCTCTGTTATAATCCCTTTCTCTTTCTTCAAATTCCATGCAAGATTTGAGTAAATGGTTTAAGATTTTTTTTAAACGATTTTTATTGGTAGGGTACATATGTGGTTTGGTAAAATTAATTACATTGCTATGAGGGTGCGTAGTGTTACATAAAAAACAACAAAAACAATTAGGTTTTATCGCTTGATGTCCATTTTCAAGTGAATTATGCAATGCAATGTAGCAAATTATAAATCCATGTTCATTTGGCTTTTTATGTTTATACATAGGTCCAAATGAATAAACTTTAAAGTGTTTTTGTTTTGTAATTTAGTCTTAAGTCTATCCTCTTAATTTGTCATGTTACAAGTGAGGGGCTCGCCTCATTGTAGCTACCAATCAGTCAAATTGTTTATCACAGTAATGATGAGACAATGAAGCCGTTCATCGAATCAGAATCCCTAATGTAGTATCGAATGGAGTGAAGTGTCAGACGCTGTGTAACAGTTGACCGAAACAATAAATTAAATTTATTTTTATGGCAATGCATGGCTGATGTAGAAACTGTAAACCTGGCTTAGTAAGATTAGAAACATTGCGATGAGCGAACATAGGTGTTTCTGAAACAACACATTTGGCTAGGTAAATTTAATTACGTTGTTATAAAGTTCCATGGCAGTTGGTGAAACAAAAAACCTAGCTTTGTAAAATAAATTGCACTATTAGGAGGGTGCATGACTGTTATTGAAACAATATAGGAGGCTTGGTAAAATTAATCAAGTCGGTATGAAAGGTATGGCTGTTGCTGAAACTATATAGCTGTTTTGGTCAAATTAATTACATAATTATGAGAGGGCTTGGATTTTGTTGAAAGAACACACCCGGTTTATCAAATTTAATTACATCGTTATGAGAGCGTATGGTTGTTGCTAAATCATCATTCCCGGCTTAGTACAATTAAATACATTATTATGAAGGTATATGTTTATTGTTGAAACAATACACCTGGTATGGTAACATTAAACATATTGTTATGAGAGTGTCTGGCTGTTGTTGAAACAATACACCTGGTATGGTAACATTAAACATATTGTTATGAGAGTGTCTGGCTGTTGTTGAAACAATACACCTGGTATGGTAACATTAAACATATTGTTATGAGAGTGTATGGCTGCTGTTGAAACAATATACCTTGTATGGTAACATTAAACATATTGTTATGAGAGTGAATGGCTGTTGTTGAAACAATACACCCGGTATGGTAACATTAAACATATTGTTATGAGAGTGTATGGCTGCTGTTGAAACAATATACCTTGTATGGTAACATTAAACATATTGTTATGAGAGTGAATGGCTGTTGTTGAAACAATACCCCTGGTATGGTAACATTAAACTTATTGTTATGAGAGTGTATGGCTGCTGTTGAAACAATATACCTTGTATGGTAACATTAAACATATTGTTATGAGAGTGTGTGGTTGTTGTTGAAACAATACACCTGGTATGGTAACATTAAACATATTGTTATGAGAGTGTCTGGCTGTTGTTGAAACAATACACCTGGTATGGTAACATTAAACATATTGTTATGAGAGTGTCTGGCTGTTGTTGCAACAATACACCTGGTATGGTAGAATGAACAAGAGCGGTATGACGATGCCTGAATGTTGACTGAAATAACATACCTGTGTCGGTAATTAGGGCGAGAGAATAACGATGATTGGCTGTTGGCTGAAACAACAAATCTGTGTCGGAAATATGGACGACATGGGTATGACGATTGGTGGCGGTTGATCGACACAACGTACCTGTGACGGTAATATGGATGAGAACGTGAGGGTGCATAACCGTCACCATACCCTTGGTTATGACCATAGTAGTTCCAAGGGGGATGGGTTGGCTTTGCGTTGTCATGGCTCATTTGCTCATTAAGTTCGTGTTCCTCAGGGTCCGGTGGTTCATCAGGAAGAAGACTTGTATTCGGTTCAGCGTCCCCGTTTCGTTCATCAAAGAAGACTGAAGTGAAATTGAAACGCTTTGCTTTCGTGCCTGCCACCACGTGAAATATGTAGTCACTAGGGAGAAACAATATTTGAGTAGTTAGGTGTGTTCCCTAGGAATCTTCCGTTATGCAGTCTCTTATTGGAAAGAAATACGTTTGTAGTTTACCATCTTTAACACGTGGAGAAACTAGCACTTAATAGTTATCATCGTAAATAAAGTTTTCTATTACATTCTTACCTGGTTTTAAATAATACGTTTTTGTTGTGTTGTGCTAGAACTTATCATAAATATCATAAAATTAGTTGAATAAATGAATGGATGGAATCACTTTTGTCAGGTGGTAGTTTGCAATAAAAATCACATGAAAATCTGTTCACATTTGGCATAGTTAAACCTTTCAGTTATTTTCACAAAATTATCTATTAGCCACCTACTGCTAAAAAGATTAAACATCTCAGTGACGATTATCTTTATACCAATGGAATTGTTATGACGTTAGGTGTAAGGAACATCGGTTAGAGTTCAGAGATGTAAGAAAGAGGCCAACGTTTGGTCAGTCCCTAAAGAATTAGGGATTGCAACATTCTAAGTCATTAGAAAATTATGAAAGTGAGGGGATGTCTTTCTTTCTTGTTCAACCGCTGTGGAGATTACGATACTCCCTATTTAAAAAAAAATAAAAAGCATTATAATCCAATCTACAGAACATAGAAGTATTCGGTGTAGTTTATGAGAATGAAATATAAAATATAAAAGGAGTTCAACGAAAAATATAAAAAAAGACCAGAAGGTGTAAGAGAGAAAAAGAATAAACCGAGAGAGACGAAGGAAGAAAGTAATATGTTGCCAGTAAGAAACAAATCTAGCTCTGAATCAATGTGCTGTTGATTATAGTAATAAACATAATTTTTTTATTTCACATTGATAACAGGAATAAGCGCAAACTTAATAAAGTTAAAGGGAGACCGAAGTGCGAGTACAGCACGATTGTAGGATACGGTGTCAAAGCGATATAGAACAGAACTCATAGCGTTTTAGCATATATCCAAAATAACCATGGATACGGAATAGCATTTTAGCATATATCTAAATAATTGTGAATACGGAATAACATTTTAGCCTATATCTAAATAATTGTGGATACGAAATAGCATTTTAGCATATATCTAAATAATTGTGGATACGGAATAGCATTTTAGCATATATCTAAATAATTGTGGATACGGAATAGCATTTTAGCATATATCTAAATAATTGTGGATACGAAATAGCATTTTAGCATATATCTAAATAATTGTGGATACGGAATAGCATTTTAGCATATATCTAAATAATTGTGGATACGGAATAGCATTTTAGCATATATCTAAATAATTGTGGATACGAATTCATCTTCTGCTTAATGTGTTAACTAAAGTAACTACAGACAAAAACCCTCGGCTCTATTATCATTTGGTTATTAAGGCTAGAAAATTAGTATTACTTTTATTCTTTCTAATAAAATTGTGGTTCATTAGAAAAACATTTAAAAAAAATTTAGAGGCATTATTAATTAATACCTCTGAGCTAGAAGCTTATATCAGTTATTCATAATGTGCAGAAATGATGCCACCAGTTCGAAATTCTGATGGCACTAATTGATGTGACCATCAGCTCTGATGAGTTGATAGGTTTATAAGTTCCATAATGAACATATTACGCGTGCTCACGTTGATTCCTCTCTTGGGATAAGACGTGAAAAACTCATCACATACACAGTTTATGTTGACGGAAAAAAGTAAAACATGTAACGTTTTGCTAGCAGTGTTTATAGCATATTATATGTATCACTATAATTAAGTACAACGTATTTTTGTGTAACTACTCACTGTGTCGTGCAGTACCTAGCCATCGATTGTATAAACTTAAATAAGTGACAGGACTCTGCTGTTGTTGCAGTAATCTCTCTTTGAAAGCAGTGTGCAAAACAAAGTAAAGACAAAAAACCGATACTAACTTAGAGTCGTTACAATAACAAAATATTAGGATCAGAGTGCTAAATAAATTTAAGACTTAAGGAATGATACGCGCTAGTTATTATCAAGATAATCATTATACTGAAAAAATATATATGTCCGAAAAACTAGTACACATTGCTAAGGAATGTCACGTACTTTCATGCGCTAAAAAAAAACAATCACAATTTGAGACATCACATGTACTTACCCTGGGTAATAAGAAATATTTTGACAAACTGTTCGCCCTGTTTCTGGACAGTACTGTGGCTTAGGGAGAAACGTGTTCTTTGATGGAGACGTCTTTGGGTATGTATAATCGGAGTGATAATGGGCAGTATTCGTATATGGGTGCCAGGGTTCTACGTTTTGAGGATATGGTAACACCTGAGGAGGGAAGCCAATTAATCCCACCAGCAAAACAGAAATCTGAAAGAGAAAAAAATAACAATAATATTTTGTGATTTAGATTTTAACACTGTAATACTGTTGCACAACTTAGCATTTCTTCATTCACACCAATAAATTTCCATCAGCTATTGTTGAAAAACTCTCCAACATTCACCACAACAAATCTCAACTCACGAACAAAATTGACACTAACAAACCCAACAACAGT